TTTGGAGTGATGGTCTTAACTGGTTGGAAAGGATCTCATCATAGATGGGACTGTTTGTCTGATGGGACCAAACCTGTGTGAACATCCTTGTCTGTCAGAGCCAGAGAACTGCTTGGTGCCTCCTCCACCAAAAGTTTGGTCACAGCCTCACTTGATTCCCACACACTCTGGCTACACATTGCGGTGTAGGATCATCCCTCTGCTTTCACAGAAGCTCTATCCTGGCTCTCTTTTCCTTGCCACAGTACCTAATTCATAGGTGTTTTCTCCTTGATGCTATCCCCCAAAAAAACAATAATTAGAACGAGTGTGGGAAACCAGCTTACAAAAGGTTGTCAGCATCTCTCCCACATCCGACAGAATGACTGACGGTTTTCTCCATCCAGCTGGTCCCCATCCAGCATTGCCACTGGCAGGATGCAAAAAGTTTTCACACAGAGAGTTTTTAACACCCCATAGAYTGGCTTCATGGAAGGAGCAGAAAGGATTAGGGAGAGCTGAAGAAGACCAGCCTTTCTTCTAGTAGTGAGCACCAGCTCCACTTTTACAGGGAGCTGCCAAACGGGAGCTGGAAGGAGGTCATGTCTCAGGCTCAAGCCTTCTGTGACTTTCTGACCTGGCCCCCTGTCAGGTGATTCTGGCATTAGCTCTACTTTGCATAAGAGACAGGCAGGATGAGCAGGGTGTTGCTTACAAACCAGTTTTCACTGGTGGGAGTGAGCTGCAGTTCTAAGCATGGTGGAAACCACGCTGGAGCTGATCTTCCTGCCCTAGACAAGTTCAAAGTGCTGTAGCTTCTGCTAAAAGGGGATGTGGCTCACATGTCATTGTGCTTTTCTTCCAACATATTCTTGATCTCTCTARTTCTCCYCACTTTTTCCTATTTCTGTCTCAAYCTGGGTCCCTCCTAAGATCTTGGCTTTTCCATTTAGCAACAGTGGGGTCCACATCAACCATACAAGGATCATCTTTCCGAGAGACTGTTTCAAATTTGGAAAGATGCAGGGCCTTGTACTACAAAGGAAAAATTTTTAATTAGGCTTGGATGGAGAGGCACTAACTGGGCTCATAATTTGCTGTGGCAGGAGTGAGTTACAAAGTCATCTTAAAGCAGTTCACAGAGCCATGGAAAATGGGCTTTAAAGGGAATGTGACCTGGTTCATACTCATGTCCTCAGCTGCACCTAAGTACTCCTGGCAGAGATTCTACCATCTGAATGGACAGTCTTCCAGGGTGTACTAGGAGGAACAGAGCARACAGTGGGAACCTCCCTGAGGGCAGCTCTCTGTGTAAAAGTAGTCCACACGTGTTCCCAGTTGACTTTCTTTGATAAGTGGTTATAATGGGGAACTTCTGTCAAGGGGAATGAAGAGCAGTTGAGAAGAGATTGTTTGGAAAGCATCAGAAAACCAACAGGATGGTGTGGGAACAGCAAAAGATTGTTCAAGCCTTCAGAAATACAGAAAAAAAGTCCAAGGTCCTGTTCCTGGGAGCTGGAGAAGAGAATAACAATTCCTGGTTGGCTGAAGAAGTGGTTGGTGTTTGCTTCACTTTGTGGGGTGCTTAGCCCTGGTTCTTGGGGAYGGGTCCTCTGGGGTGGCTGCCTGTCCAAAGTCCAGTGCCCAACCTCATGGCCTGGAAATGGGCTGGGAAWGRCARGATGGCTTTAATGAACCCTGCAAARTGAACCTTCAAATGGGTAAAAGCTTCAACATTTCAATTCAACAAAAGCTTCAACATTTCAATGTACACCCAAGGGACCATGTAATAGGTGGGTATGTGAAAACAGTTGTTTAAACTCCCCAACAGGAAACTTTCCTGTAAAAGGAAAATGCAAAAAAAAATCCCTTTTAAGAATATATTGGACAAAACTGATATTGTTTTGTGTGGCTAGATGGTTTTTTTAAGGGGGATGTTACAACTGCTGGCTACCACATGAGAAAGGAGGGAGTCTGTGAAAGACAGAAGGGTGGTGCTTCATGCTAAGGGCAACATTACCCGTTCTACAGCGGGGACTTGGAGCAGACTATGTAGATCAGGAAAKCCCAAGAGGGAGCACTGTGTGCAAGCAAGCCTGTGTGTACCTGACTGCCTCATCAAACGAGGCCCAGCACGGATCTCTCTCTACAGGCTCATTTGCAACGTGTGAAAAGAAAACTGTATTTGCATAGATAATTTAATTCTGGGACACATCTGTGGAGATTGCCTGCAGGCCACAGTCAAGTTTCATGAGAGTTTCTAAGTGTGCTGGATGATAATTTCCCAGCAGAAGATGCTTCCATCCAGCACACCCTCCCTTTSAGATTCATGGTGATGGGTAGAGACTTTGGAGCTGAGCAGTTGCCTCATTGCAATGCACTTGAGCAAAGTCAGGMCAATYGCAGGTAATCATATATGAATTTGGSTTTTCYAAGATGCTGATTTTCCCCAAGATGAAGCAAAAMCAAATGCAATTCATCCTAAAGAAAAGTTGGACAAATATAGTGAAATATGACTGCAATGTGAGTTGCTTAAGATGAGTTTAGCAGATGAGCTAGTTAAAGCCTGAGTTAAATTAGAGAGTAGTTTTGATGTTGTTGTGTGACACCCTGGTTGGGTGTGAACCCTCGAGGATGGACAAAGCATATGAGTTAAACGGGCTAAACCCATGAGCCAGACCCCAAGAGAGGTGTTGCTGCTAACACTGGCAAGGGGGTGTCTTCTCCATCTTCACAAAAATCAGCTCCAGGCCTCCTCTTTTCAACAGTAAACTTGAAACAAGTATGAAACTGTTGTGTAGGTCTTGGAGCAAATGACATGGGCCMTACCTCCAAAATGAGGTGCTGTGTCCCAGGTGATGAGTCCCACGAGGGTTCCAGCAAGCATAACTCCAYAGCTCCATGCAGGTGCTAAGGATGAAGAGCCAGAGCAGCAGTGAAGAGGCATGAGTAGGTGGTTTATCCTTATCAGTCAGTGTTGTGATGGATACTGAYCCCTTCCAGGGAGCTCTGCAGTCCAGCTCTTCAAGATGTTTAAAAASAGCAAGGACTGAGAAAAGGCATGGAAAACAGATGGACAAAGTTRCATCCTGCCTCACCTGGCAGTTTCTAATGAGTTCAGCTTTTGCTTTCCCTTCCTAGGACCCAGCCTCAGGCTGAGCCACGCCGCTGTTGGGCTCCAGTTATTCTCTGGCATGGGGTGATGTGTTCCCAGCACAGGGTTACTGACCACGCTCTAAGCACAGCAGGATTCTTTGGCACAAAAGGGGCCTCGTCCCTGCAGAGTTTGTAACACAACTCACCTTAACTCTGGGCTTTCTGCCCTCACTTGTGCCTTTCCAGACCTCCATTCCTTCCTGCTCGGCAGCACAAATCCTTCTTTGGTGCACACCTRTAGTGCAGCATGCACTTTTCTGCCTCCAGACAAAACAGCAGGCATTTTTCCCAGACTCCCCAACATCTTGGCTGGAACTGCATGGCCCCTGACAATGCCAAGTGACACCTAGAAGGATGTACCAGCTCTTGGAGGCCTGAAGAGTTCACTGGAATGAGGTTGTGACCCCACTTCTGCTGGGTGAAGAATAAGAGGTGATACCATGGGACTGACCATATCCCCAGAGCTTTAAATATTCTTTTTTAAGAGCAAAACCCAGGAGCAAAACTAAAGCACACACAAAGCAGCCACTTCTCATTATCACAATTTACAAAGTGCTTAGTAATAAGCATGAGTCAGTGGGGCAACAGGAGTGCCCTCTGTTAGCTTTGGGAGAAACCAGAAACRAGGCATTTCACTCCTGTTCCTGTGTGCACGGTCAGGGTTTCACTCCTCTCCCCTCATTCCCCTTTAGAGATATTTCTACTTATGATCCTGGTTTTATGGAGGTGGAGACCAGATCATTAAATTCAGTCAGAGAGCCTGTGTGTTTCAAGAGACATCAGATTTGCAGAGACACTGAAATATGGGGGATTTGCATTATAGTCACTGTGAGCTTCAGATAATCTGCACGTCTGCAAACTGGAGTGCTGCTTTCAGTGCCAAAATTCAGAATTAATCCATGGGTCTCCATCTTTTTGAATCACTGGCCATCGAGGCTGGACCTTGGTCTCCCAAGGGGCTTTTTCATTCTCCTTTGGATGTGGCAGTGGAAAGGCTCCTACCTCCTTCACCTGATCTGGATGTGACTCTCGGCCCCATCAGCAGCTCAAGGTGCAGGACTGAGCCTTCATTGCCCATCTCTGCCCAGGCTACACAACACTTTCTGATGGTGCTGTTAGACTCCCTGGGCAAGGTTTGTTCCCATCAGAGGAGGATGGGAAAAGGGAGTGGAGAGGTCCCACCACAGCTTGTCCTCTGGGACATCAGTCAAATCTAGRAAAGGAGAGTGGGAGCTGCTGCCAGAAYSAGAGGGTGCAAATTGGATGCTTTTRKGGAGCTTGGGAGCTAAMGGGTCATGGTTTGTTTRCGAYARTGSTGTGGGGTACAGCTCCKTGACAGGGCTGTACAAACCTCTCTGCTCCCATTTGGATCACAGTGTCCTTAGCTCTGCAGGTCTGGGAATGGGCAGGAGTGAAAAATTGGCGCTGTTCATGCCAAGGCCTGGCAGAGTTGGGTAAATGAGGTAAACAGAAGTGTGTAAAGAGAGAACCACAGCCTTACACCTGTCTGCAAACAGCCCTTTGCAGCAGCACCTGGAACTTTGCTGCAGACTGGGAGAGAAAATACAGTGCTGGAGCAGAGCTTTTTGGCTTTCAGAGTTGGAGATAAACTCCAGTGAAATGGAGTGGATGTCTTGCGGGGAGAAAGCACGAAGTTGATGCGAGCATCAGGACCGGGAAGCGGTCAGCACGGGGATGCTGAGAGGGATGGTATGTCCGTCCACATAACACCGAGTGCTGCCCAATAGACATAGCTAGTGCAATAGTCACGGCGGCTACCACTAGCCATGGGGCGGCACAAGCAGGTCACGGAGCACGAGGTTGGCCACCCTCGCGTTTACTCACCTTCTCGGGCCGGTTTTGCCACAGACGTGGGGTTTTGCGCTGCCTCAGCTGCCAGGAGCACCCGAGCGACGCGGCCCTTGCCCAGGCAGCAGCGGACAGGGAGCGGAGATGAGCTCGGCCGCGGGAGCGCGGGGCTGAGGGCTCGGCGGCGGGGCCAGGTCAGCCGGGAGCTGTGCTGGGGGTCCCGCTCTCCCGGCTCCGGCACCGCGGCTCTTCTGGGGACAGCTCGATGCTGCTGTTGCCTGAGGAGGCGCGGGCGTGAAACAGGGTCCAGCCGGCCCCCGGGCTTTTTCCCCGCTGCCGAGAAGTTTTGTCGCGGGTCAGACGGGAGCGGGGCCGGCGCCGCCGCCCCGGCGGGAGGAGCGCGGCCGCCCTGAGCCCCTCCCGCCGCCCGCCTCCACCGACCCGGGGCGCTGAGGGGCGGCTGCCGGCGCCGAGCTCCGCGTCCCGCGGTGGTTGCGGGGCTGTTCCCGCCCCGGCAGCGCCGCTCCTGCCGGGTCCCGCAGCTTTCCGCAGCTTTCCGCAGCTTTCCGCAGTTTTCCGCAGGTTGGCACCCCGGGCACGGGTGCCGTCCCCTCAGGTGGGTTGGGGGCTGCGCCGGGCGCGGTGTGGGGAGAGAGGGGCCGGCAAGCCGTGGTTGGGGTTGCGAGCGGGATGGCCGAGACGAGGTAACGCAGGTGACCTCCCGAGTTACTTTCCTACCCTGGTGCTCTTGGTTTTGTTCCCCGCGCCCCTTTCCCCACAGCCTGCGGGTTGCAGCGGCGGGATGGGCTGGCAGCCCCCGGACGCTCCCGCCCTGCGGCACCGAGCCGTGCTCTAGGCGCGATTTTGGGGGGACAAAACGCTCCCCGTTCACCCTTCGCTGGCTTGGCTGTGCCCGGAGCGCACCCCTGAGCTCGAAACGGGGCGGGCTYGGGCCGGTGGTTTGTAGCTCTCCAGAAAATACCGTCCCGAAGGCTCCTAGCACGCCGCAGAATGCGCCTGTGGGAGAGGGAGTCTGTCGGCGCCTCRCGATGGGAAAAGGGGCTGCCTTGCRGGATGCAAAGATGTGAAGCTGCAGCGCTAGGTCAGTTTGTTCTAACCAAATTGCTGTTACTTGGGTGAGCTGTGTGCCTTTCGAAGTTCAGAATGGGAAGAATTACAACCAACCCATACAGTCCAGCAACCTGCTAGAGAGAGAAGGACCCTCTTCTAGACGTGAGAGCCCCTCAGAAAACACTCCAGGATCCAGCATGTTTGCTTCTCCTTGGCTGCCAGAGTTGAGCGCSACACAACTTTCAGGGGTTTGGTCACCGCTCAGGGCGGGGTGGCTCATGAACTCAGAGCTGGATTTTCCGCTGCCCCACAGGTGCTCTGCATCCTGAGAGGAGCAGGGAGGAGGAGGCCAAGGGAACCAGATCCCAGGTAACCGGGAGCTGCCAGTGTTGAGTTGCAGCTGGCATTTCTAATGCGTCCTTGGCGCGGCTGTCACATCGCCTCACCCACCTGGTGCCGGGGCACTGCAGGCGCCTCTCTTATTGCACACCCCGGTGCAGTTTACAAGTAGCACTTTCCACACGGGTTCGGTTGTGCCTCCGGTTTTGGAGCTGCCCCTTTCCACCCCTGAGCAAGCCTCACGCTRTCTGCGGGGAGCCAGGCAGGCAGACCTCGTGGAAACTTGACGTGGCCCTGCCCCTTGGTRGGGGGCTTGTTTTGCCCAGCAAAGAGACGAAAAGGCTGAGCAGGGCAGCCCTGGGTGCAGTTTGGCAGCCGTGGTACCCGGGAGGGCAGCCAGATGAGCCGTGGACATCTCCAGCTTTCAGAGCCTTAAGTCAAATCTGTCTCCTAGGGGAAAATATTCCCTGCTGCTTGGTCATCGGGGGTGAGRTGAAAGAGCTGTAGTGCTGTTTTCCTGCCTCTTTGAGGACTGAATGTGTCACTTGATTTCCAAAGTCCTGCCAAATTTAAAAGAAAAAATTAACAAGGGCAGCATGTTTTTTTCTCTATTTAGGGCTAGAAGCTGTCCCCATGCTTGGGGCTGTCTGGCTTTGCAACTGGTCCATTGTAGCCTTGTTTGTGAAAACACAGGTGTGCTGATGCTGCGAGGGCTGTGAGGGGATGGTGTCTGATTGCATGAAGAAGCAGCTGTATCTTTCTGCCAGCTCTGGAAAGGGAGACCTCTTGAAGGCATATGCTTAATGGGAAGCATAACTTTATGGAAATATTCCTTCTGAGGCCTCTTCCTCCTCTGCATTTGATAGCTCGGTGACAAACAGCTTCAGTGGAGGTGAGCTTCTGCTTTTAATTAACTTATACACAGCTCAACCACAAGGTAGATCTCCCTTGTAAATCAAAATACTAAATCATCAGGCTTTTTTACCTCTTATTCATGGTGGCTCTCTAAAGATGGTACAGTTAAGAGRGAAAAAAATGGCAGGCTAATGGCAGGCTACACCTTCCTGTGAGGCTGTTTAGCGTGTTCCCGTTTGCTAGGCTGGTGCAAACACCCCAAAGGCAGAGGGAGCTGATGGAAGGAAGGGATGTTGGAGCCTCCAGCAGTGGTGCTTGGGGCTGAGCTGTGCCTCAGAGCAGCATTTGGGGCTGGTAATCACCTGGGAAAAGGCAGAAAGGTTTCCGTTCTGTAGCAGGCATGCCCATGGATGGATGGGAGCTGGTGTAAAGGTGACAGATGCTGGGAATGGGCACAGACCCCAGGCTTGGAGCTCTGACACCTGGCAATTGCTGCACCTTGGATCAGCGTCCTGCTGGGAAAGGGTGAACGTCACACAGCCACAGTGGAGTGCTGCAGCATCCTTGTCCTGTGACAAGGTGCCAGCCTCCCTGGGGCAAGGATTCAGGATTGATCAGCCCTGCAGATCAGTGGCTCACAGTTTGCCCGCAGCAACTGCCAGGACAAATTGTGAAGCAGATGCTTGGGGATTCTTGCACACCCCCAACATTTTTTTCTCTTTGGCTGTGCCAAAGAGGCAGGCAGGAGCTGGGTTTCTGTGGGCATGGGACATGGTGGCCATGCAGTTTGGTGGCCATGGAGCCAGCCCTGGCCATTTCTCCTTCTCCATGGTGAAGGTGCAGTTAAGCATGAAAACGGCCGTGTATTTCTGGAGAGGCAGCCCCTGCCACCCCACTTTTAGGTCATGTGCCACGTGCCCAGAACTGGGGATGGAGACTTTTCTGACTCAGGGGCTGGGAATGAACACGAAGATTGTCCCATGGAGGCAGAACACCTAGGGGGTGGTCTCCCACTAATAAATGAAGTGATTGATGAAGTTGCTAAGGAGTAAGGAAAAGCCAGGATTTTTCCCAAGGTGGTGAAAAGCCTCTGCTTGTCCTTCCTATCCATGCAGCACAGCTGCTGGGGCATTAGGCACCCCAGCTTCCAGAGGCTTGGGCATGGGAAGGGCACAGGAGCAGCACTGCTCCTTCTCAGAGCAGTGCTTGGGGCATTTCTGGGGGATGCTCTCCATTTCTCCCCTCTGTTTCTGGGGGAGGCAGCTGTGTGCCCTCCTCAGCCCCAAGTGGTGAGGCTGCTGTCTTGCAGAAGAGATCCCCCTGACTCTCTCAGTGACTGCAGGAAGGTGAGCTTCCACTTGGAGGTACCGTGGTGTCACTTAAATTCGGCTGCAAGGACCTTTCTGGCTGTTTCTGTGTGAGGAGTCCTGCCAGGCCACCTTGCCAAGCTGAGATGAGCTCAGCACAGAGGGTGGTGGGGTCCCAACCCCTGGACTCCCAGCGATGCTGGGGACACAGAAATCTGGAGTTTTATGCTCATTTCATCCACGAGCTGCTACAGCAGGACATGAGGGAGGGCTCAGGTCTTGGAGTGCCACAGTTGCTCCTTGGCAGCTCCAGGGATTTGGTTCACCTTCCCATCAGCTCTGGTCTCATTGGCCTCATCTGCGGCATGCTCCCTGTGCCTCTTGGTATTCCCTCCTAATTTTCCTTCCTTTGAGCATCTGCAATCTGTTCTGTCTCTGTTTCTCACRTGCCTATCATTGTACAGCAATTATGGTTAGAGTTAAAAGCCTTATCAGCTCCTTAGTGGGAGAAGTGTGAGTCAGCTCCTCGCAGGACTGTGTGGTGGTTCAAAATAAATAATGTTTGTTTTCTTTTTCTTTTTTACATAGAGGTTTCTTTAATTCAAAATAAAAACCACAGAACGGTAAAGAGCCATGTGGGTATTTAACTGCATTTATAAAAGTAAAAAGTCCAGAGGCAGAGCTAAATGTGCCGACCTCGTGCCACCCTCCTAAGCTGAGGGAGCCACAGTGGGCAGACAGGCAATGAGATCAACGTTCAGAAATTACTGCCTTCATGGTCTTAGGATATCCTTTCCAAAATGGTAGGATGCTTGAAAACCACAACTGGCTTCAGTTGACACAAAATTCCAGGTTCCAGAGTCACATGGTGAGCTCCCCATGCGTCCAGAGACAGAAGCACCCTGTCCTGCATCTCCCTCCTTTGTGTGTAGCAGGTCCTGCAGCTCCTGRTGGTTACCCTCCATACCTGGATGTGAATCAGGGAGTGTGGGCACAGGYAGGGACTCTGCCTGGATGGGAAGATGAGCCCATTTGGGCTCTGGTATGCTCCATCACATGTGCACTGAGCTTGCTGTCTGTCTGTGAGGTATGAAGGTATCTGAGGGGCCTGGAAGTGGCTCTGGAAATGCCAGGGACAAGAGCAGAATGAAACATGAGCTCAGGACAGTCCCTGAGAAGAAGGGTGACAGCTTTGCAGCTCCCCAGTGTTCCTGGGGATTGAGCCTTTGTAACCCAGGTTTTAGGATGACACTGTAAGCAGGATTTCTTGGTTTTCTTCCTTTTTTCATTTGTGTTTGCAGGCGAAAGCATGAAAATGTAGGTGCTGAAGTTTTAAATATAAATTAAAAATAATCTTCAGATATGCTGTGTGTTTTAACTCACAGTTTTTAAGTAGCTTCATTACAGGGGGGTGTTGCAGTAAGTCTGGCGTGTGACTTCTTTTGCTCGCCTTGGGGTTGGCAATATTGCAGGTTTCTCAGGCCAGACAAGAAGGGATCTTGTTGGACAAGAAGAGCAGAAGGAAAAAGCAGGAGCCTGTCTCGGAAGTGCCAGATTTCTGAATTGCAAAACCCCATCCTGCGGTGTTCATGTTGCTGGAACAGTTATCCCGATGATTTTCCGCTGTAGGGGTGCAGCCYGGTGTCCTGTCAGCACCAGCAGACCTCCATCTCCCACCAGGAGTGGCAGTAGCAGCACAGACCCACCATGGGGGAACTGAGGTGTTCCCGCTCCTCTCCTGAAGCAGAAGGGATTGCTCTGCCCTTTGCACATTGTTCCTTCTCCCCAGTTGTTCTTCTCTGCCTCTGGCCACAGAGCCACTGTCCCAAAAGTTCTTCTCAGCAGATGTGTTTTTCCAGGTGTGCTCCTCTCTTCCCTTGCCCAGGTGTGCCTGTGCCATTTCTGTCAGGGCTGGTATGACCAGACAGGCTTGCAGAGCTCATGAAGACTGCTGCATTTCTGAATGTGATTGTTCTTTTGTCTGTGATTTGACATCTTCAGTTTYCCACCTTTTGATTCACCGAGTACTGATGTCACCTTGGGGAAGAAGCCTCTCTTTCAACAGCAGATCAAAATGAGCATGTTGGGGTGAAAAGTTCATTTTGCCTGCTCTGTGTCTATATGTGCTGCACCAGTTTTTTGGCTGCTTTAAAAGTTTTTCCCTCTGTTTTTTTTTTTTCTTTAAAAAGAAATGTTTTGAAAGGGAAGAAGAAACATTGAGACAGTCAAGATGTGCATTTAGATGACATCAACTGCATCTGTTTTGAGGGCTGTTTATGTGTTAGTCTACATAGTTGCTCAGCATTGTCAGATGCTCAGTTGTTGGACTCAATGATCTTGGAGGTGTTTTCCAGTCTTAATGATTCTATGAGTCTGTGTCTGTCCCTGGAGTTCTTCAATAGACATGTAGATGTTGTGTTTAGGGACGTGGTTCAGTGGAGRTGTTGGCAGTGCTGGGTTAATTGTTCGACTTGAGYTCTTTCCCAACCTAAATGATTTTATGCAAAGTATCCCTGGGTCTTGACAGATCTACAGAAACAAGTTTTCCAGGCCTGGAGATCAACCATCGAGTTGGCCACAAACTGCTTTTATCTAAATACTGGTTTTAGCAGTCGGTGCTTCCTTTTTATCTTAGRAGATGATGGTGCTAATATTTGTCATGTGGTCCAGTTGGTTGTTTCTTATCCACATTTGGCTTTTTGGGTCATGTCTGCATGGAAGCCAATGCTCCTCTGTGGCCAAATGTTCTCTGCCATGTCCCAGACAGCCAGCAGGGGCAAGGCCATGGACAATGAGGGCAGCAAGGGGAGAACAAGGCAAGCAGAGCTGTCAGGTCCCTTCCAACACAAGCCATTCTGTGATTCTGCTCTGGAAGTGATCCATCAGAATTGGTTGGCATTTTGGTCTTTAAAAAAAACCCAAAAAACCAAACCACTCCAAATCTCTTTTCAACAGACTCTCAYATTTTAAGGATGTGGGGTTTTACCACATTTACCTGTGTTGTTTTCTGTCCTCATGACCCCTGCCCAACCTCRCCCTGAAGGTCATTGACCCCTCAAATTACTGGTCCCCCTTGGATCCTCYCCAGGCCACAGAAAAGCATTCCTGCAAGCTCTCCCAAGAGGCAGGAGCTGGGCTGGACTGCTTTCAGCGACAACTGCACTGCTGCTTGCTTTGTTGCATACTAATGAACACTAATTGGCCTCGGCTTATTATCAACATTGCATGGGAGCCATTTGCAGAATGCTGGGGTGGGGAGTGGGGAGACCCCAGGGTTTTCTGGCCTCCTCTGAGGGGTGAGAGCTGAACTGGTGCTCCTTGCAGTAACATCTCCATTTGTGAGCCACAGGAAGGCTGTGCCTGCTGGCCTCATGCCAGCCCTGGTAGTGAGGCACCTGCCAGGCATGTTTCCCCTCCAACACAGCAGAAGGTTATAAGGAATTTATAAGGAATTGTAGGGGTTTTTCTCTTTAAACCCACCTGGGGGTGTGGGGAAGAGCTGAGCCCCTTGGAGGCTGGGCAATGCTCACCTTCAGGTCTTCCCAGCAATCAAGGTGCAGTGCCTCTCTGCTGCCCCATCACCACCAGCCCCTGCATGCTGTCCATCGGTCTCCTTGAGCTGGAGCCTGTCTCCTCCTCTCCACTGCCCTTCCAGCATTGGAGCAATCCTGGCATTCACTGCAGCAGCTGGATATCTGCTGTAGCCATACCTCTGTTCTAATCATTCAACCTGTGCTGTGGAGGATGTGAAAACCCCCAGAAGATGATCCTGTTGGAGAGGGGAAACACCAGCAGAGTTTGCTACAAGCTAGAGRGAGGGAGGCTTGATGGGGCTGGGTGGGTTCACTACTCTCAAAAAACACCTCCACCATGTGTGTCAGATCTTCAGTCTGGCTGATGTGTGACATTGTGTTTGTGGGAAACAGTGAGCTGATCTCATGCTGGGGAGGTTCTGGCAGAGGCAGGACGGTGCCAGGACCCGTGGTACATCAAGGYTTCTGCCAACAGGAGAGCTGGGGTTATTGCTTCAGAGTGGGTCTGCTCATTTTGGACAAGTTGTCCACTGACCGTGCTGTGCTTGGGCTGGGACTTGTAGGTAACTTCTCTAAAGCTGAAAAATCAGTTTACACGCCAGTGGAGAATAACACCTGTAGCTTTTTGGGCATTTGAATCCTGATTATGCCCTGTGACAAACATCAAGCTTCAGACCAGGCCCTGGTGACCATGCTTCTTTTTAATTTATTCCTCCTTYGCTCACATAATGACTGGAGTTTTTCCAAAGAAAGGACTTGTAAGGAGAGGGCATCAAAGCATCAGGAGCAGTGACAGAGAAAGAGGGAGCACTGGCCAGGCACAGGGGACGCTCAACCAGGGAGCAGCCCCAAGGAGGCTGATAGGGATGATTTTTTTCCTTCCACCTGTTGTTAGGAGCAAATAGGGAGCGAGCTATTGCGCTTCCTCCCCAGCTGCTAACGACGGGAGACTTGCTCATGGCCGTGCACTGGAAGCTAATTAAACCCAGTGACAATGGTAATTGAGTAAGGATGCTTGAGGATAAGTATGACCTCATGTCTAAAATGGTAATGAGGCTATTAAAATCCCCACCAAAATGAGAAATGAAAGGGGGAACAGAAGCAAAGGTGGTGCAGAGGGAGCAGGCRGGGACAATACCTGGCAGCCAGAGTACAGGGAGGGATGGAGASCACGGAGGTGTCAGGGTTCTAAATCTCTTTAATAAACAGCCAGCTCTTCAGGTAGACAGGCTGCACCTTGGGCCGAGTCAGCCCAAACACTGGGTTCAAGCACCTTCCCTTCTGCTCACCCCAGCCTGGGTGTAGGTCCTGTAAGGTGATGGCAGCACTTGTTGCTGTTTGTTGTTGTTGTCACTCCCTGGTTCTTTTCTGCAAGAAGGGGGTGTTCCCTGAARCCAGCAGTCACTGCCAGTGCAAGGAGGGTACTCGCAAAATGACCCTGAAATTGCTCCAGTGCAGGAAGATGCATTGGGAAAGGAAAGCTGCAGCAGKTTTGGGGTGCCAGGTTGCTCCCATTTGGAGCAGCACAGCACAGTATTTCAGCTCTCATGTGGGACAAGGGGCTGGGGGCTGCTGTGACCCTCCACAYGTGCTGTTTTGCAGGGTGGCATAGCAGTGCTGGGGATGCCACCGTGCTCCATGGGAGCCCAGGTCCYGAGCTGACCCTCCTCGCTGCAGAGGACACCCCGAGGGACACTGGGAGGGGTCACTCCCTGTCCTGACCTGGATGTGCATCACATCAGTTCGGGTGAGTTCAGCCCCGGGCTGCTGGACCCTTTCCCGCTGGCTGGGGGGATGCGGTCGGTGCCAAAGTTTTCCTCTCACTGGAGAAAGCCAACAGAGGTGCTTGTCCTTCCAGCAGGGCCAGGGTGCAGCTGGATGACGGCTGAGGATGTGCTATGGAGCCAGGATTCAACTGCTCTGAGCTCTGCGATGGCAGCTCCAGTTTTGGCAGGCAGGAGCGGCAGCAGYGGGCACTGCAGGAGCTCTGCACCGTGACAGTGGTATGTATGGATGTCATGGGATGTATGGATGCAGGGGAGCACTCTGGGGCACGAGGTGTGCTCTGCAAAAGTAGATTTGGATGGAGAGATGGACAGGGAGACTGTAGCTGCCAGTCAATCCCAGTCCAGCTGAAGACAGCACGCTGTCACCTCCTGGTTGGCCTCCAAGACAATCCCAGGCTAGGGGACACCCAGCAGTTACCCAGAAGGTGAGAAAGCATCCACAACAGGCAAGTCATGTCAAGCAGCCCTCCTGTGTGTTGGCCAGTGCAACAGCTGCTTAGAATTGGCCTGAGATGGCCCCATCAGCCCTTGACCTCTCCTGTCCCCTATAACTTCAAAKTGCTTTTCAAATATGAATAGAGCARGATTTAATTGAAAGTCRTCATCTATAATAAATGGTACCTCMCSCCCTGCACCAGTGAGCTGGTAAAAATGACACTGAGATGCACTCAGTTGCAGCTGGCACCATGTGAGGCTGCATGGATGGACCAACGAGGCTTGGCCCACTCGTCTCTCCATCACGTCCTGCACGACCATGGGCCTTTAATTAAAAGACTGTAAGCTGCTTGGCTTCTCTGGCTCTGGCAGCCAGCTTACAATTAATATTCCCCCTGCCAGGACCAGGATTTACTCCACTCAGCAGCCAACAAAGCGCTCCATCAACTTCAAGTAACATCAACATCCAGGGAAACAGCAGTCAGGTGGGAGGGTGTGTGGGAAAGGAAAAGTGGAGATCATAGGGGTGTTTCTGATCCCTGGGTGGTTGCTGGGAATAGGGTGCAGTAATAATTTTGACAGCATCAGAGGTGGAAAGATTTTGTTGGTGGGTGCATCTGGGAGTGAAGTGCAGAAGCCCCAGGATGCTGAGTTTGCCCTGCTCACCTCACTGGCAAAAGCCAGGTGTTACCCCTGGGCTTGAACAGGCAGGAACAGAAATAGAATGGCATGACAGCCTTTTGCCAGCCCTGTCAGCTCCAGTCAGGGGGAGGATGGCCATGATCTGTGCTGATTGATGGGGTTTTCACACACACAGTCCTGGTGTAAGGTGGGGGACTGACCTGGCTGACCATCTCTATCATCTGGTATAGTCTTCCTTTCCCAGAGAGGCAAAAGACACCCCAGGGAATAGAGAGAGGGAAGAGGAGGTGGGAAGCAGTTTGCAGGAGGGAGATGAGTATCCCCCCCAGGGATCCCTCTGCACTGCTGCAGAGCGGGGCTGAGATGTGCATGCAGCTGTATCCCAGCAGCAGCTCTCAGCTGGATGTCTCTCCCAGGCAGGGGTTTGCCTTACCCAGTTGCCCTGTGACCAGCATGGCACCAGCATGTGAGCTGCCAGGAGCCTGTGGATCAGCCATGCTCGTGTGGCAGTGATGCGTTTTTGTTTGAAGAATTATGTGCTGGCTTTAATTCTCCAAGCCGTGTGTGTTGTTCTTGCTGGCCCAGAGGAGATGAAGYCTGGCTGGGGAAGAGGGACATGAGGCATTGGTTCTAAACAAATGCCTTACTTCTGCCTGAAGATTTATTTCTTGCAAGGCTGGAAGAGAAGCAGCTCAGAGTTTGAAGGAAGAATTGGGAGTTCATGGCAGTGGCATCTGTCAGTAGAGATTGGGTGCAGGAATACCTGAGAAAGGACTCAGAGAAAATTAGTGAGGAGGTGTGTGATTCTAGCTCAGACCTCATTCTCCTCCTACCCCACCCTTAAAGGGGATATGCCAGCTCTTTAATAAAAGTGATCCTTYTCTTCAAGGAAAAAAAA